ACCTACAACTAACGATTTTGAACGATCTTTCGAGCGAACGGCGAACAAGTGAGTCAGGAGCTCCCGATTGCGGCGACGCGCATAAGTCAGGTTAAAGGCAAGGAATTAGAATAAACTAGATGTGGTGATCGCACTCAAATAGGAAAGCAGGGATGCTAAATGGACTGCAGCTAAAGAAAAAGGGAAAGAAAATAGTCCAATACATGAAATGCGAGCCTTCTCTGCACGCTGCGGAGAATCTAACCAGGGAAGTCTCCAGGAAATGAAGCGCTTTTTCAAAAAGGTTTTTTAGTGTTGTAGAGACACGCGCAGGGAGCATAAAACCAAGAATATTTTTTCTGAGCGGCTCTGGGAATGCTAAAAAACATAAACCATGGCTTGTGGTTCGATCCCCACTGAGGACAAATTTTTGCATTTCTCTGATTTCCACTTTCTTGGGCTCATATATGTCTAAACTTATTCAGTGAACAAAAGCTTCCAAAATGCAACTATCAACTCTACAAATGCTGTAGAGTTATTAAAAATGGAAAAGTTTCACTTCTCAAGGAAAATTTCTGCCCTTTTTCTGGCAATCCAGGGCCGCTCAGAAAAATGATCATCAGATTTATGCTCCACGCACATGCCCACAACATGCAACAAACCGTTTGAAAAAGCGCTCCATATCCTGGAAGACTTTCCTGGTAAAGGTGGCAGGGAAATGATAGATAATATGAGTGGAGGAGAGCGCAAAGAAGTCCGAGTAGAGGGAGCATTGCAGATCGGCATTGCGACACGATAAGTATCAAACGAACAGTAAATGGGCGAGCACTGATAATCCTCGTGCGATCAATTAAAGCCCTTAGCATAAGTCAGGTTTTCTCAGTGACGCATTTCGATGTGCGAAGGTAGCGCGACGTCTGCAGTGCGGACTACCACACCTCCACCCACAGGAACGACTACTTCAGTAAGGCTGAGCCCGGATCATGCCTTCAGTGCTTGTACCGTCGTGATAAGTGCTTTTGCTTATACTCCTAGCGCATGGTAAGGCACATGTCAGCAGTATCAGTGCCACCCTCAGGATCTCCTTACCCACACTAATAACAAAGCAAAGCACTGCACCTGGATTCGATTGTTCCCTGAGTCAGCAACCAGGATATTGCTCTGAAACGATCAAGCGG